CAATGTAAATATTAAAATAATTCAATTTGAAAATGCAGTCTTAAGTGGAGAGATGCATTGAGGATGCACCGTGGTATGTATATTTGGTATTTATTTAATCATGATAAAGGTGAACTAATCTAGTCTGCCTGGTCATTAGACAAAGCAATGGGCAGGGGTCTGGACTTGGTGGCGACGGTTGTGGAACGATGCTTATGGAGCATCTTAAACCATTGGTTGCAAACTCCTGGCTTGGGGGCCACTTCTGGCCCACAAACACCCCACGTCTGGCCTGTTATGATTTGTTGACCAAATTTGCCATACATGATAGCATTGTACAATATTTATATTGAAAAGTAAAAGTTTTTCTAAAATGTGTATACTGTATATATATATATATATGTATTGCAAATCAAACACAGATGTGGTCCGCCGATCACATGATGACGTCAGAAGCAGCCCTCAGCTCATTGGAGTTTGAGACCCCTGCTCTAGACTGACAGTCACGCTCTGCACTGCATCTTCGCTGGACAGAAGGGGAGCAGCAGTGAACAGTCTCCTGTCACACTGTTGTAGAACAGAGTGATCCAGGAGGTTGTCAGACATTATAACACTGCAGCTGTCCGCCCATCCGTCCCTCCGTCTGTCTGTCTCTCTGACTATCCATCTATCCACTGGTGCATCACTTTTTTTTGTGTCATAGATTTTGCTTGACATTTCGTGTTAAGATGGACATGGTTAATTGGTTACCCATGGCCATGCAGTCATGTTAAAAACAGCTCTTATGAGATTTGAGACCATGTGTCCAGCAGCAGGACTCGATGGCTTGTCCATGTGCTGCTGGTAGTGGTTTGTCGGTGTGCACTGCTTTTGTGAGACTAAGACCAGAACATGTGGTGGCAAAGGTCTGTGATCTCTACAGGTCTGTTCCACACTGATAAGACTGAAACTGCTGAGTTTAGAAACGTAGCTGTCATTTGTTGGGGGAGGTGGGGCCACAGTGGTACGATTTCACCAGGAATGCTGTTGCCTCAACTTTTAACTCTGAAAGTTAATCTCATCTGCAAAATATTTAAGTTCACCATTCTACCTGATATGTTGTATGTTTTAGGAAGAGAACCACACAAATATGGCCAAAACACTTCACTCTAGATCAGGAATGGACAAACTAAGGCCCGGGGGCCGGATGTGGCCCATTCAAGTTTTTAATCCGGCCCGCCAAATTTTTCCACATGATATAATTTATTTATATTATCATTATACATCTTCCTTTTCTCTGCAATACCCACGTTTCCCCAATAGATGGCGCAGAAAACAATAGAAGCATTTCAGCATTCTAGCCTTTATGCATGCAGGCCCCCCTGTTCAATTTTAGGACAACTGTGGCCCACGAGTCAAAAAGTTTGCCCACGCCTGCTCTAGATTAACTGACTGTTATTTATTTATTAAAATGATCCTTCTTTTTTCTGGGACGCCTAAACAAGGTGAGAACAGAACCAAGTCGAGCTCAATATCAACTGAAACAAATGTAGTAATAGATCCAACCAGCTGCTGCAACCCAATCCTGACAGTCAACACATGCTTACTAGGTTTGACGACCAGCGCGTCTTTGATCGGGTCTTTGTAAACTGCATCACCGTCAGTGATCTGTGAATGCAGCTCGGCTGAAGCCTCGTGGAATTAGATGGAGTCAGACGTCAAATCCGGAACAATTGTTCGGTGTCATTTTGAATTCTTTTTAGATGTAAGTGGAGTGACGTCAAGCCTGACTTACCCCCAGCACCAGCACCAGTGCCACCATCATTAAGCCCCCATCTCTGCAGTAACACATGAGGACCAGCAGCCGGTTGTTGAGGCAGCTGTTGGTAGAAAAGAAGCTGGTGTCACCTGTTGGTTTCTAATGACATTTAAGCTCACAGACACACAACCATCGACCCACTACCACGTACACACACGTACAGTATGACCGATGCGTTGTGTGTGTGTGTGTCTGTGCTATTAACTCTTTTTCAAAACGGCTGGATCACTAATCTTTCTGATATCACTTAAATATAATACATTTGTGTTTTGGAACACTGTAGCTGTCCTTACTTTAGCTTTATATTTTGGCTATATTCAGCGCCCTCTAGCGGATGTCAGTGTGAAAATAACAAACATGTGAAATTATCTATTTTAATATATAATCCCAGCCAAATGATTAAAAAAGTGTGATTTATAATCCGAAGAAATGCAATACTTAATCCTCGTCACGTAAATCGTTTTGGATTAAAGTTCTGCATAAATGTAAATTACTTTTGTTCATTCTTAGATATATATTGCAATATTTTTCTATGTTCTTTCTAGCTAAATGGGGGTCATTTGGAGTAATGCATGTTATGTTTCTTGAGAATTTGGTTGTCTTGACTCTGACACTGATATTCACTGAAGGCAGTTAACTCTCCAGTCTTGGAATTTCAAGGTTACGTCGTGGTTTTCATACGACACCGTGCCGCGAGTCCCAACTAAAATCTGATCCTGATAAATGAACGCAGACACTTTCATTACCAGCTACATTGCACTCCTGTGACTTTTTTAAAAATTTGGCCGCAGTTGTGTAAGTCTGGGAAAGGAGCCCTCCCTTTTCCTCCGCCTCAGACGCATTTGCCAGAATGCTGTGTCTGTTGTGAATTTTACAGCTTTAATAAGTGTAACGGATGTCAGCTGGCTGCCTAAGCATCATAAGTGTCACTTTCACGCTTTAATGAAAAGCTCATATCTCTTACGGATTGTTGTGATGTGAATAGAGCTTAAAAACTCGAATCATCCGACCTGCGCACAGTATCTCACCGGTCGAGGACTGTGTTAGTAGAATAGAGCACCAAAATCTCACCGGTCGAGGACTGTGTTAGTACGTTCTTATGATGGTAACTGCGTTAATGTAGGCTGACCTTTGACCTGTACATGTCTAGAAATGCAGAACACCAGCTGTGTATGTGTAGGGGTGTATCTACATGCGTAGCTGTACGTACTGCACGTGTGTGGTTGAGAGCTACTGTCGACTTTAGCCCTTTGTCATCAGAATGGAAACAGTATAAATAGCGGATTTCGTATCTTGAGAAGTTGCTTAAAAAGTTGCTGATGTCTTTGGCGTGACAGGAGGACAAAAATCAGGAGGACACTTGTGACACTGTGGCCACATCATCCTTTAAGGGACGTTTTTTGGGACCCATGCATCTAAGGGACCCGTCTTTGTATAGAAATATCTACAGTGAAACATATCCTTTGTAAAGATATTCTATATTCTAGAAATATTATGAGCAGCTCAATGGTTTGTGGACACTCACCTTGTGTTTTAATGATATTCTTAAGACACCTCTACACTGGTGGAGGTTTGGTTTAGAAGTTAGTTGTTACCTACCTAGTTACCTAGTTGTTATCTAGGCCAGATGTCTCCCGAAAAGGTAGCAAGAGCATGGTTAATTTTATAAAGGTGATCTTTCAATAGTCGTGTTCCACGTTTTTAGATTTTCTCTTTTGTGGCCTAAGTATCTCCGTTTTAGTGCGATGGAGTTGTACGTCACTGTTTGATGTCAAAGGAGTTAGGGTCCGTGATACGAGGGCCTATGGCTCGACACCATAATGGACCCAAAACATGCTGCAATGATTATTAATCTCATCGCTTCTGGGAAAACCTCAGCATCCCACAAGTGCAGCTGGAAAGTGTTGGTTGTCCCATGTGAGTGTGAGAGACACATTTACACCCACATGCATTTAGCTAATACCGTTACCATTGAGCACTTGTACTAGTCCTCAGGCTGTGGGTAGAATGTTGTGTAGAAACTGTCATGGGGCAGAGGAAACGTTCCATACAGACAGGGTGCAAACCACTGAACCACTGGTGCCAACTTTATTACTAATACACTCTCAAATGTAATGGAATCATTTTTTTATGTTTATTTTTTTATGTTTATATTTAGCTTTCTTCTGTAGGTTTTCAGGTTTAAGTGTACAACCAGCTGCTGGTGCTCCTGAACGTAGTCTGCCTTTCTGGACGGCGAGTATTATTTCTTCGGCGTCGACAGGAGAGGGTGGCGACCATAGCAACCAGCTGCATACAAGCATCAAACAAATGGGATAGGTCATTGATCTTAGACAGACACACACTTACACACACAAACTACAGAGGAACCAAAACATTAGAGCCACTCTGCTTCCCACTACCAAATGAAAAAAACATGTAGGCACTCTGAAAGACTTCTGAAGACGAGTGTGTGTGTGTGTGTGTGTGCGGGCATGTATGTGTGGGTGCATGTGTGTGGTGGCAACGGTGGTTTTTGTGATACACTGTTCCTTTGAAACGTTGCTAGATACTAAATCAATGATGGATCACAAAGACGTGTTTAAGATTGTGAAGCTTGAAGAAAAGTTTGATTCAGACATTAGCCACCTGCTGTCATTTACCTTGGACTTTCCTATGTGGAGGCTTAAGCGTCCAGCAGAGGGCGCTCTAGGAATTTCACTTTTGACAACCTGGCATTTCTGTACTTTTTTGCTTTAAGCAAACTAATAATTGCATTAGCATTTCAAGACACCAAACACAATAGTTTCACACAATAGTTGGTAGATACCATTGTTCTGCGTTCCATAAAATGTGCTGTAGAAATTGCTGCTGTTGCGTCTGTAATTGCTAACTGACCTTTACTGCTTCTGTCAGGTTGACAAACGCAACAGAAGAGCCCAGAAAAAGCAGCACAATTTGGGTTTAAAGAATTCTCTGCAGCATTGAAAACGCTACCTTTTCTATCTGTCGGCTTAACACCAACAAAGCAGATCTTATCAGCTCTTCACTTTAGATCCATTTGCTTGCTGACATGATGTAAAGCAGAAACCCAGTCTACTGGATTCAACCCAGATACATATGGGATGTAATGATTTCCAGGGGGGCATAAAATCCAGCCACAGTCTCCAGCATCTGAGAGGTCTGTTATTTGAAATAATGCTGATGGGAAAGCTTTAATTATCTCGCACTCATCTACGTCACTGCGGAGATAAAAGCCTTTGTTTAGTCAGTCGTTTATTTGCATCTTTTATGAAGATGCAATTATTTTATTATGCTGTAAACCTATAGTAAAGTGAACGTATATTTCAACAATGATTTGTTATACCAGTGTGTGGTTCTTCATCGTCCTGTTCTTCTACATGCTAAGAATATTAAGAAAAGTACTCCAAAAGGTTTTTCTCAATTCCTCAAGCATTGTTTTAATATTCATTTCTAGATATTGAAACATATTTCTACTTCTTTTCTGTTGCTTTTGGATCCTGTCTCGAAGTCTCTGGCAAACATCAGCAGTCGATTTATAGGACCCTCGAAGAGGGCCAAAAAGGGTCTTGACGTGATGATCGAGCTCTTGTCTACACAGCCGGCCGCAGGTTGTTTCACTGTTGCAAATAATTGGATAAAGAGACCAGCAATAAGGTTTGTGTCCCCGTGTGCTGTTGTGGGGTATTTTTCCAATATGCAAAACAAAGCAGGTCTCCATTAGAAAGTATGAAACCTAGAACTGGTTATAGCAGGGGCATCAAACATATGGCCCGAGTGCCAAAACTGGCCCGCTAGGGGTTTCAGTCCGTCTCGCTATGATGAATATAATAATAAAATATACTGTATATATACACATATATACTATATATATATATATATATATATATATATATATATATATATACATACATACATACATACATTTATATATGTATATATATATACATAGGCTATATTGATTTTGAATTCCATTTAAAAACATACGATGAAGCACATGCGTCATAGGTTCATAATTGGACACCATCCATGACTGACCACTAGGACCACCTAGCAGAAGACTGGCTGCAGAAAACATCAGTAAACATCTGGGTTCTGAATGCTGATGTGGTTGTAACCTTGAGGCTTTAAAATGTGGCATTGTTTTTCAGCTTAATGACTATGTCCATATCTTTTGTATTGTCTATGGTCACAGTCTGTTTAGTCTACATTGCCATTGACTGTTGGTAATGGTGCATTGATTCCATTGGGGGTGGTTTTCTTTTACCTCCCCCTCTCTCCCAGTTTTGCTCTTTTACTGTTGTAGCAACCTTCTATTTAGATTTTTGTAACTGTGTTTTTTTGACGGCGCCCCCATTACCCCAAAGTCATTCCTACCCCAAAGACTCTGGGGCAGAATGAAGTACCACTTTCCACACTCTGGCCTGCACTCATCCACTAGGCCCTGCTCTATGTGCTGAGTGAAGCAGGCTTAATTTGAATTTATTGTCCTGCTGCTTGCTAGCATGTAAATGAAGCCCGAGCCACTTATTCTGATCAGTCATTCATTCATGGATATTATCCCAGCTTATTCACTTCAGTGTTTTGTGCTAACAAGGCCATGCACAGCGACCGGCGCAGCCTGCTGTTTCTTCTTTGTGCTTAGCAACTGTTGCTGCGTTGGAGCATTTTAAAAATAGAGAATTTACTGGCTCTATTTTTTTTTCCTGATGTTATTCATTCCTACATGTTGGACCGCATTAAAACAAACAGAAGTTAATTCAGCAAAAATGTTTTTTCCCACTTTTCGATTAGCCTAGTCATTTTTTTCCGAAAAAAAGAACCCATGTTTTTTTTCTGTACTTAATGTGTTCTAGTAGCAGTTTAACCCTATTTCCTTCTCTCATTAGAAAGCTACAACATGACAGTTTTCATTAAGCTGTTAGCAAGAAAACCATCAGAAAAAAAAAATCAAAGCAGCATACATAATAATCCTATAAGATTTAAGAATCTAAAATATACTTGTTCCTGTGCTGTTGAATTTTTTTTATAATTTTCAACAACAACACCAAAACAAAAATATCTTTTAGAAGGCCAACAATTAGCCAGAACAATGTTTTTTTTTTATCAAATATAGTCAATGACTGAGTTGCATCATCTACCTGTAGACCCCGTCCAGACACTGGGGGAGCATGGGATATGTTCTGCAGTTACTAAAAGTGCTGATGTGAAACTGCTTCCAATACGAGGTTGTGACATCCACCGTGTTAACAGGTGCTTGTCATCCCCTTCTGTGGTTTCGTTCCCAGTGCGGTATTTGGTTTTTCCTTTTCAGACAACTCTCCACGTGTTCCAAGTCGGTAACTCCACTCTGTTTGTTAGAGATGTTTCGCTCTCGCCAGGAGGCATCTTCATTGAGAACCGTCAAAGACAGGGGTCCAGGTGCAATTTGAGGCCCATTAAATATTAACACTGTACCAGTTTTATTGACCTTACTCACAGTTTGATTTGTATTCAATAATAAACCAAATCCAACTACAGTTCAATAAGCTGTATGGGTGGTCCGCATGAAGTTCGTCTAAAAACGACATAGTTTTTGCTGTGGCTAGAGTAGAAAATAAAACAGTATATTAGTGCTTGTTAAAGAAGTGACTGATGCAGTACTACCACCATGTGCTCAGTTTGATAACCTATGCAGCCCTTTCAATCTACATGTGAAAGACTGAAAGTTTTTTTTGCAGCCCTCTACGTCGGTGTTCAAATAAACAAACTAATAACCTTCTAGCTTAAATATACTCAGAATTTGACTAAAATCTCTGCCTGTTTAGTTGAAGACAAGGCTGATATAGTGGCAGGAATTGAAGAAAGACACTCACAAAGATCTTCTTCAACCCAGTGATAGTGTTTTTGTTTTCATGGCCATGTGCTGCCACCTAATGGAAGGGTATTTAACTGTTCAGAATCTCATGCATTGACAGACGAAGAAAAATTATTTGCTATAAGATATAAATAAGATTTTTTTCAGTGATAGTGTGCCATGACACAGTGGTTGGGAATCACTGCTCTAGGGGGCACTGTTAGCCCAAGTTTGAGCCACGACCCAACGGTTAAGACTCACTGATATAGAGGATATCTTTTACCCTGCAATACCATCGGTGTCATGTCTCACATGATTAATTATGGAAATAGAAACACACTCTTCAATGTCACTAACAGTGTAAAAAAGCGATATTTTCTATTGAAATTAAAACAAAGGGAGAGAACCAGGGAGGTTGTCTGCCGTACTGCATGTCAGGTCAATTCAATGGCCCCAAGTTATTTAGTCCCCTGTGCTTTTTACTGCCATATGTTACGGTAATCACTGCTGTACTGCTACTGTATTGTACATGTGTGTATTCAATGAAGGTCCCTGATGAAGAAAACTTATGTTGGATCAAAGTTATGTCTGTGTGAGTGCGCTAGCCAGAGAGAGAAAGAGAGGGTGAGACAGAGAGAGAGAGAGAGAGAGAGCCAGAGAGCAAGGATAAGATGACTGAAAATGAGAACAAAACATTCTGGGCTGATATTTCAATACCAGAGCCTTAGCACACATTTGGAGGCTTTGACCGCACGTGTTTTTTTTTTCATGTTATGCTAATGAAATGTTTTATTAAGAGACGGGCGAGAGATGACAGCGCAGACAAAATGTTCTTTCTTCTCGCCCTGACTCTCCAACTTCCTTTGTAACTCTCTTTGAATTTTTAATCTTTTGATGCGAAAAAGTCTGCTTAACAAAGGAAATAAAACCAAACAAATGGCACACAACAAAGAGATAGCAATTTGGGCTTTTATATGGCTTCATCCAACACAGCAGTGTGCCTTAATAGTAAAACATCGTGTCCTTCCCACACATGCATAGAGGCAAAAGCAGAGTTTTAGATACGCTAGAAGGAGAGCGTTAGCTTAGCAATAGTATCTGGTCTTTTTACATACTTGAAGTGGAAGGTTAGCATATCTTGGAGTTAGCTACATTGTAATGTCTGTTTTGTTTTAATGATTGGCAAAGAGTGTTTCAATGGCTGAGCTGTCCTTAGAGTGCCCCTACTGGATAATGAGGTAACTACTTTAGACAGTCGGGCTTATTTGATTGTAAATGTGAACCTTGACCCTCATGTTAAAACGGAGGGTATTGGAGTTGTCGAAATGAGGTCGAGTTTGACCATGACGTGAATGTCATTTTCTTTAATTGCTGCATATAGATCACTGCTAAAAACAGAAAACATTACTGTAGCTAATTTGAGCCTCTTAAAGGGATTACTGCAGACCCAAATTAAACCTCTGAAATACCGCCTCTGTGTCTGACCTTAAAGCATTCCCACTGGCCTTGTGGTACACCCATTATCCAATCAGAGTTTTCTCAGCATGGAATTAAGGCTGCGATTCCTGCAGATATGTGGAAAACCTGAAAAGGACAGAAAACGTGTCTGAAATACTGCAACAAGAGTGGATATGAGTACTTAGCATCTTTGAGTTTCAGTTCTTTAGATATCAGATATCATGCCATATGGCAACGACTGCAACTTGGTTTGGGTAAAATACAGCTCCGTCTCATAAAAAAATATATTTCCACACCACATGTTCAAGAATGTTTGGCAGAAACATTTTTCTTACATGATGTGTCTTTTGACGCGCTGGAGACCGATAGTGTCACATCGTGAGACACAGTCGTCAGTGAATGAAGACTTTTTGAAGGAAGTGTGAGAGGAGAACAGTTGGAGGCAATTTCAAGAGCGACTTTGAAGGATTTGTTGTAGACGGCTGTGGTGTTAGGAGGACATTCTTGTGGCTTCTTTTGGGGAGAAAGTTGAAAGACACCGAGGAGAAAATGTGGGCTTTCCATTGTCTAAACCGTTCCCAAACCAGGAAATACAGTCCATAGTGTGGCAGAAATTGTTGTTGGAAAATATAAATAGTACCTACAACTAAAAATTTTAAAGGGTAGACATTTTTGTTTGTAAGTTAATTGGCCAGTGTGCAATCATCCCTGAAGCAAAGCTACTTTCACTTGTATTTATCCATTCATTCATTGTTTTCTAACAGCTAGCTAAGTATCCAAAAATGTCTTTAATAAAAACCAGTTAATGGGGGGTAAATCTATGAAATAACTACCCCCTGCCAAACTGTGTTTAAAGCTACATTTCTAGCATTTTCTTCTATTAGCTTTTAACTAGAATTTGGTCAATTTCTACATTTCCTGTACTTTTCTTGCAGCCAAATTGTAGTTTTTTGTTATCTTTCAGCTTCTATTCACTTTTAAACATTTATTCAGATATCTCATAGGGTAATCATTTGGATGATTTCGTTTTTAGCTGTCAATATTTAGCTACATCTCTCAACTTTTTTGTGTTTTGACTTATTATTTAGCAATTTTTCACATTTTCTGGCTTTATTGTCGTAATGAGTTTGTTATTTTTTGCTAACAGCTAGCTAAGTATCCAAAAATGTCTGTAAAAAACTAGTTAATGGGGGGTAAATCTCTGAAATAACTACCCCCTGCCAAACTGTGACTGACAGATCCCTCCATAAACACCATGTCAGGGTACATAATGAAGTGAAATAAACTACAAATCAGCCTGACTCTGACTTTTTATGAAGAAACCACAGAGCGGCAGCTGTGATCAGAGCTCGACAGCAGAAAGAAGACGAAAGATTTCGCTCCTTTTCCTTATAGTTTTCAAAGCTCAAAATGTCCACCAAGCATGTTAAATTTATTATTTTGACTTATAGATTTTTGCACCCTTTGGGTTTTACTCTTTACTTGATAAATCAGGGGTGTCAAACATACGGCCCCTGGGCCAAAAACTGGCCCAATAGATACATTTTGAATGTAGAAAAAGCACAAACAGTTCATTTTCGTGATTTTTTTTGTCACTGTTATCTTTCTTTTAACCAATTCTCAATAATATATTTATGAGCTGACCTCAGAAACCTGCAGGAAATGTTAGAATTTTTTTCATATGTCTTTGTTAACAAAAATTTAATCTTACTTCTATTTAAAAAAAAAAATCCAACTTGGACTCGTTTTAAAACCTGTAGCGTCTCCATTCAGAAAAACATTTATTACAGAGAATATTCCAACGGCGATGAGTTAATGTCAACAGCAGCTGCGTCCGTCCACTGGGTTTCTGCAGCTGATGAAGACAGCAGAGCGATGTGGGGGGTGGCGGGGGGGGGGGGCTCGGGCTCTGTGGGAGGGAGGAGGGAGGGGTCTGCTAAGGAGTGATGGGTTAAACAAAATTATGCACAGCTGCGGCGCTCAAAGTTTAGTCTGAATTAATGTGGTGGAAACACTGATGTTGTTTTACTCTATTGGACATTTCACGAGACATTACTCAGCAGAAATTGGATGAAGACAAGAGAATGTCTTCTTTTTTGCACTCGTAACGGGGATTAAAGACACTGTGTTGTAATGTGTTTCTGATCGTAGATTAAAATCCACAGAGTTAGAGTTCACGCTCTTAGGCGCGGGTGTCAAACTCAAATTCACAGTGCGCTAAAATTAAAAACAGGGACGAAGTCACGGGGCTAACATAATATTTATTTAAAAATTGACTGCAATTGTACGTGTTTTGAAATGAAATTACAATTGAAATTTGAAACATAACACACATCAGTGGTATTTGTTTCTTTATCTGTAGCCTTTCCAGTTCCTTTTTAATGTAAATCTTTTTTTCAAAGACAAAAAACTAAAATGTATGTGCTATAACCTAGCACATACACCGCTGATACTACAGATCCTGTCAGTATATAGGGGACATATACTGGTGGGCCAACTCTGGTACATATGATGTGATCTTGCGGGCCAAATATAATTACACTGTGGGCCAGATTTGGCCCCCGGGCCTCAGTTTGACACGTTTTTTCATTATTTGTCATTGTGACACAGCACACCACTGCACACCCATCACCAAAGTGAACAGTGGGAAGGTTATAAGCGCCCAGGTGCCTTCCAGACCCAAGTCCGCTTCCTTAACCACTAAGCCATCATCACTGCCACCTCTAAATTAAACAGAATGACAAACCAGGTGAGATCTTTCAGCTAATAAAATCAGGTAAAAAGGATGAAAATATTTAAAATGATAGTATTTTACAGTAACTGCACTGTTATATATTCAAATGATAAAACAAAATTGTGGTCATAAAATTGCATACCTTTGTGTAACAATTGGCAATTTGTAGAAAAATTACTCAGACACAATGAAAAAACACTTTAATAGCTAGACAGTTGATAGCTGATGGCAGTAAAGGTATGAAAACGTACTAATTTGAACAATGCTAATTCAGTCATTCTTCGTGTACCTTGTGGAGCTTGTGATAGTGAATCATCTACGTCCGTTTGACACCCAGTCTTATCAACTGTCCTCTTGTCCTCCCTCAGTACGCCCATGTATCTTCCCAGTAGATCAGCGTCTTCTCCCCCTGCTTTGGCAGCTCCATCTGTAACATCCTTTGTCCTCATGTCCAAACCATCTAAACAATGTCCTTATCTCTAATCTGTTCAATCTAAGCTGTCCATCTGGGTTACTCCCAATGAAACCTCAACATATTCGCACCGTCTTACACCTCCAGCCGAGCCTCTTGTCTTCTAGGGCAAAATGTATGATGTACGGTCTCCATACCTTACGTCAGAGCAGGTCGCACCAATATTTTCCACTTGTATGATTCCAGAGATATTTGGAGTGGAAAAGTTCAGAGGATCAGGGTTGGGCTCCGTTGTATCACAGTTCCACTTAGAGACCTGTGAAGTGGAGTTTTCTCTCAGGAAGAGGTTGTGTTCCACTTGAAGGACTTTATAGTTTCTTACAGGAACCATGGCCGTGTTGGTGAAGCACTGAAAAGCTTCAGGATCAGAGCCAGGGCCAGCTCTGACTCACCGTCACCTTCCTGTTAAAGACAGGACGTAAATCTAAATTGTAAGTGTGTGTGTTCAGACCATCGCCTTCCTGCGTGCGTGCGCGTACGTGTGTGCCCAGAAATCACAAAGGCTGTTTCCTTCTTAAAACAGTAATGACCAAATGACAAACTGCACACACACCCAGAGAAAAGACTGTAGGTGTTGGTCTTTCTTTTTAATTTTCTGGCAGAAAATTAAAATTTTCTACACTGTAAATATGCACAAATTACCAAAATACCTCTGCAGGAATATTCATCCCAAACAGGATATACAGTAGTACGACATATTGACATTGTTGGACTCTGGCATGACAGAACCAGATGGCAGTGTTGAGTCAGCCCGTGTTGAGTCTCAGGTCCACAGTGTGTCGTCTAAACTACAGCACAAATATAAGTGAAGGCCAGATCTGGGCACAGGACACCCGGATGTCTTGTTTACCGCTGCTGTATTTGGAAAAGTACTGGATGTGACACTTTGGACACAGCTGAACATTCTACTTCCTGTGTAGAACAAATGACACGGTAGAAAATTGGCTGCAAAGTTAGTGTTTAGCATAAACGAAACTTAAAATTTTAGGACAATTGTGACCCCGTGAATACCTAAAATTCCTAACCAATAGCTAAAAATTACACCTAAAACATATTGCAAAAAAGTCACTGTTAAAAGGTAAAAAAAAATGTCGATCAGGATGAACACTTAAAAATAGCCAAACGTCACAGATATATATATTATTGCAGCAGAAGAGGCCCAGGTTGAAGGAAAAGCTAATGTCTCACTCTGTTAGTGGACTGTCAGCTGTATAATCAGCAAACTGCTTTTTCATTCTTCTAACTATCATTACATTGGCCCTTTAAAAATACATTATCTGAATTGCTTCATCTGCAGTGTCCAACTAATCAACTGCATCTCCATCCACACGGAAAGAGTCTCTCGGAGGAACCGCCGCAGCTGAGCTGAGGCAGCGTCTTGTGGTTGTTTCGGGTCCATTCTGTTAACATTATTAATCAAAGTGAGCTGAAGGACGATAACAACAGTGTGTTTCCAGATAGAGTTGAACACTGCTGCTCTGTGTTGAATTAAAACAGTGCAGGAGTGGAAGGAAACGTAAGGTCACGGTCGGAAATCGGTTCGGTTCTGTGGAGCAAATTATCTGAAGGATGTTCTGGAAATCAACATGTTAGAGGATTTTTATTCTCTACCTGAAAATTAAAGGTAGCTTGTTTATAACCCACATGTAAAATGATTTATTTGTGATACCTTTTTCATGTTTTTTTTTTTTTTACATTTAAATCCATCAAGTGACCACAAGGAATGGCTGTAGTAATACAAACATGGTGGTTAAGCGAACACATGTGAGATAAAAGACCTAAACATAAATAAAAGCTAGCAAAACAACCAGAAAAAAGCTAATAAAAAAGTTGAAAAATAGAGTTTTCCAAGAAAGTAAAATAAAAGCCACATTATAGCCAAAGGGTTATTAATAAACCAATGATTTTCCAGACCTAAGTCATAATTAGCCATACGATGAAGATTAGCCACAAAGCTAAAGATGAATAAAAATAGCTCAAAGGTTGTCAAAAATAACTTCAACACCCAAGAAATATGTAAAATGTACAATTAAGCGGCAAGAGAAGATGTGGGATGTTTTTTACTTAATATGTATTGATGCTCAATGGCTAAATGGACAAAAGAAATCCTAATAAACGTGTAAATGTTAGCCTGCTAACGCTGGCAGAAAGTTAAGGTCGTCAGTAAGTTCAAATAAAAAACAGGTTGCCATAGAAATAACTTCATTAAATGCTGGCAAAAGTAACTGAATAATAGTTAATTCATTAGCAGTTAGCGTAAAAGCTAGCCAGAGAAAAGCCACCCCAATTTGCATTTATATAGGGGAAATCAATCTGCTTCTTTGCTTCAGGTACATTTCCCAGCTTTGGGATACAGATACAGTAGCAGTCTCACATTAAACTAGCCGTAAACCATCATCTGATTTGATTTTAATGATGGGATGACAAAACTGATTAAAATGACAAATAGACCAAATGCAAACACCACATGTCGTGACTCCCACGTTTGCCGAGTTGATTTAAGACAAAGTTAAAACCACAATAACCAGATTCTCGGTGTTTGTTTGGATAAGGTCTGAATATTGAAATATTATTCTTGGAGAACTCGGCTGCAGGCTGCCTGGATGGAATAACACACTGTGTTTTGATGTCGTTTGAAACTGATCAGAATCAAACAGACTACAGAGACTTCAAAAGAACCGTTTTATTTTGTTCCCTGGCATGACGAGAATGTAGCACATCACTTTAGGCTTTAATCAAAACTACATCTACCCATCAGTGACACACCATTACACAAGCCCACATAAAACTGATGCATAGGAACATCAACCTTGAGCTACACTGGCCCTCAGACCATGACTTGTAGAAGTGTCGCCAATGGCCTCTGATGTGACACGTGAACTGTTCTCGTCACACCCTGTCCTGCAGGAATCAGGTTTCCCATTAGGAACTGACAGTACAAATAATAAACATGTCACCTTCTTATACACAGCTACGTCATATATCGTATTGCTTCGGAGCTTCTATTATAAGACCATAAAGTGTGTATGTGGTTTTCCTGTTAGCAAGCAAGGACACTGGTTTGGTTGTCAAGTGCAGGCTCAATAATCAAGCAGTTTGAACTGTTCGTATCCTAGTCCGAAAACTTAACCTATTCAGTCAGTGCTTGCTAACAGCGAAACAACATAACATCCTTGTTTTCTGAGAATCCCTCTGCGAAGTTAATATTGCTATCTATAAAGTGTGTTAAGACACAACATTTCGTATCTCTTGAATGTAAAAGGGGCCCCCTTGCAACCCCTACCCCAGCAAATTAAAATACTATTAATGTACATTTTTATCTGTACTAACCACTGTATGCGTTGCTGCCACCTAGTGACTGGAGGCTTGTTATCATTCAAGAATTACAGCAGTGGTCCACTTATGTCCAGCGGGCCATATTCCCCCCTGGCACCTCAGCGCGCCCCCAGGGTGGCCCGCCCCACTATTTGAGAAGTACTGCCCTACAGTTACCTTTTTGTGTTCTTCTTGAATGTAACATATAGCTGTCGTGCTGCAGAGATGGTGGGTTGGGTTCATTGATTCAGTTTCTCTCTCTCTCTGCATGCACTGATGGATTTGATCAGTTTATCATTATTACCCTGGAATGATCCTGGAAATTGTGACTGTGTTTATGTGTGTGTTTAGCACAGTGTTCTGGCTTCAGGCAAACACACACAGAATGACACACACACACACACCCGCCAAGACATGGACATTTTGGGCTTGTTTTCATCAGAAGTGTGTTCTGGTTACGTTACCTGTTTTGGAACGTTTCTGGCATATTTTCAGAGTGATTTTTTTTTATCCGGACATGTATTCCTGATTGGGACCAAACTAACAGTACAAATGTTAGTTTTTCCACTCATTAGTCTGTATCAGAGACAGCGTTATTAAAATACCTCCCTGTTTGATAACGTGAGTGAGATTTAACCAAACATTTGGAATTATATCAACTCCTGTTTTATTATTCTATTTGCAGCAGGTAACAAAACACAGACTATTGCAAGACAATAAAAAATGTGACGGCACAACTCGTGCCGGATGTTGGTTTATGTAGAAGCTTAGGAATAAAATGCTAGAAAATTATATATTACTTAAGTCTTCAAGTGTTTAATATTTTGTTAGACAAAAGTATATAATATATCATCATATTTAATGATGTAAGAATCCTAAGAATGCATGACTTCTGTATGTGGGTGTATATGTTCCTTCTTACAGGAATGTTGGGCTGATACTGGGAGTTATGGTTAAAGCTGACTCATTTCTCTCTGCCTCTTCCTCCCACTGTGCTGCAGGATCCTCCAGGACTGAAGGCATCAGGGCATCTGACGTCCTTCCTGTGCTGAAGGAAAAAGTCGCCTTCGTGTCAGGTGAGTGTCAGTCATTTCAGTCAGGAAACCATCAGTATGAGGTAAACTTGATTCCATAATGGTCACAAATGTCATTTTAAATAATGAAAAAACATGACGTACTGCAGGTGCAACTCTTTCTCCATCATATGTTTCTCTGTGTTAGTAAAATTAGGAAAATACCTGAATAAAAATCTGACAAAAAGCTTTAAAAATGTCTGAAAGTTGGCTAATAAGAAAATAGCTATTTGGCTAAATAGCTACAGGGTAATAATAATCCAATCATTTCCCAAACCTAAGTTATTGTTAGCCTTAAGATAAGCAAGCTCTAAAATGAACTTCAAGAATTGCTTAAGGTGCAGGTACAAAAATAGTTCAGGTTTTCAATGATGTCAAAAAATACATAAAATACCCCCCAAAATAACTAAAATGTACTTAAAAACACATGCATTTGGGCAATATATGACAATGTATAACTGCACTCAATGCTAACCTAAACCTAAAGACTAAAATGAGCACAGTAGGCTAACAGCAGGTCAAAGTTAGCCAAATAGAAATTAAATAATATTAAAAAACGTTACCACGGAAATAACTAAACAGAACAGCGGCCAAAAATAACTTCAAATCTAATAGTAGCTTGAAGGTAATATGTTTTTGAGTAGACGGCTAAAAGCTAACCTCAGAATAGCCAAGACAATTTACAATAATAAAAGGAAGATATATTTTCTTCTTTGCTTTAGGTTAAGTTTTTTTTTTATCTTTCAGATACAGCAGCGGTTTTACATGAAACTAGCAGAAAAATCCATGAACTTAAAATGAAGAGAAGTAACTGTCGAGTTGGTGTTTTATTGTTTTTTTTAACTTGTAATTTAAAGTGTGTTTTTATATAATTCTACTAAAGCATAACACTGGGGTCATAAATAATCTTTGATGTTTTTATGTAGAGACGTATCACTTACAGCGTTAAACTTTTTAGCACCAACACCTTTCTTCTTCTTCTTTGGCTTTTCCCGCCCAAGCAAACAGAACTGGAGGAGCTGGGGATTTGAACCAGAAACAATCTAGTAGTAAACCTGCTCCACCTCCCAACCAAAATAAACCTCACTCAACTTATGATTCTGGGAAAGACAACTAAGGGTTTTGAGATAGTTATTGGTTGGAATATTTTGGAAGTGCTGTGATAGCCATCAGAACCTGCAGAAGGGATCAGTGTTGAACTCGAGGAATTACTCACCTCCAGAGTCAGAAACAAAGGCAGGGAAAATCATCACACCCTGAACATCACTCATGTGAACTTTTCTCCCCCCTGGTGGAGGTTTTTCATCGCCTAAGGCCAAAACAAGCAGGAGGAAAATACACACACACACAGAGAGAGAGACAGACACTTGAACATTTTGAGTCCACTCACAAACACTCAGCCATGTAATGTGTTTTGAATCTGGACAAACAAGATGTAAGCTGTCACATTACCTCAGAAGATGTACAACCAGAGAGCCTGCGGGAAGAGACAGAGGAGTTCATACACGGGTCAAAGACATAACAGGGAGAAATATAACAAAAATGGTTTGTTTTTTGTTTCGTTTGACTCCTGCGTGAATTTTGAAAACAGGCCAGGCATGTGAGAGGACGAGGAAGACACCCTAGAACAGGTGTGTCCTAAAAGTAGATCTGGTGGAGTTGTTAAAATTGAGAAAAAAACTTAATAAAATAAATAAATATTATTCTATAAACCGGCGGAGTTGTTAAAATTGAGAAAAAAATGTAATAAAATAAATAAATATTATTCTATAGTGTGTTGATGTGGTCATATACTGTAAGAATTGAACCATTTTTATATACATTTAATCTGTACCACAACATATAATGTACATATAAAGTATATATTAGTAAATATATATCAGGCGTTTTTATTAGATAATTGACCAGCCTGGTCATTTGATTGGTCCCGAGACAAAAAAGTGTGGACACTTCTTTTGTTATGATGGGTGAGGTAGGGTCAGACGAAGACAGAGAACTTCAAGCAAATACCAATCCTTACATCTATGTAGTTTTCTGCCTGTTAATAGATGTGGGTAAGGACTCAAGGTTACAACGTAAAAGTACTACTTTTCAAGAATCTTCAATTTTCACGTGACATTGCAGACAGTAAAATGAAGGTGTGATTGTGCAAAAAGGCTGTTACAAGTAAAAAAACTGGCATCAAAAGGAAATCAAAACACTGACTTATAAAATATGGAGCAGTCAAGAAAGGAAGGGGAAGGGAGGAAGTAGAGGAGGAAATGTTAAGGGCTGAGAGCCAACAATAATCCCTCAGTATGATTCCTTCTTAGAGGACAGCCGTGTACTTCCTCCATTATCTTACACAGGGACAGTAATACACAAGTACACACACACACAAACACATTTTTTTATTTTTCCCACACCTTAAACACTAGCTGTACATGTTTACTTGTTCATTTAAGAAAGATTCCAAAAACACCGTTATTTTTGTCACTCGTGAAACAGTGACTTTAATCAACCCACTCGAATCATGTGATCATTTGTGTCAACACAGGTGGGCGAGACAAACGAGGAGGACCAATCCTGACGTTTCCTGCCAGGAGTAATCACGACCGGATAAAACAGGAAGACCTGAGGAGGCTGGTGACCTACCTGTCCACTGTCCCCAGGTTGAGACACTCTCTTTAAGCACACACACAAATGCATTCAATGAGGTAGCATGTGTGCAAATCATTTTCATTTCAATGAATACAAACACAGCCCTCTGTTGTCAAATTGACTGTGGCAGAGACAACAAGGACAATGTAGAGAGGCTGCAGCGCCCGTGGAGTGCTTCAGTGCTGTCCACGGCACGGAATCAAACGCTCCTTTCATCTTCGCCGCGGCGTCAGATGGGGAGCAGCGTTTGATTTGCATCAGCATGAAAGATGCAGTGTCTGAAGCCGAGAGCAGCCAATCTGTTGCACTCAGCTGCAGATCTATTAAGTCCTGCAGGGCCACAGGCTCTGGACGCAACAAGACGAAGATGGCCCAAAGATATCCTGAAATATACTGTGGCAGTAAAAAGATAAAAAATACCAAACATGCATTTTATTTATGGCAGACATCGCTCAGTAGGAAAAGTATTCTACTAGAATTTCTAGAAAGCCACAGTCTCTAAAAGGCTTAACTGAATCCTATTGGCTGGTCCTGCTCTCCATTAATATCGAGTTTAACCTGCTTTTCATCATATTTTTTACTTGGTTTATGATTTTTAATTTCCAAATTCACAGTAGGTACTGTGATAAAAATGCAGTTTTTCTACCAGTCCCAGTGTATTTGAAACAGGAACATAGTCGGTGTCTGCAGTCTGCTGTCTGCTTAGCAGAAACCCCCTAATATTCCTGGAAATAGCCTTTAAAATAACATATTTCGGTAGATAATTATCAGGAGGTCGTCTCTGACGTTGTCTTTGTTGCAGCCCAGCTGGCAAATACAGCTGCTGCTGCTGTTAAAATAATCTTCCTTTTGTGTATAATGTGATATTGTTTGACTAAAAACCTTGTTTTTCTACAGATGGAAACATTTTCTTTTCCCTATGGTGGGTTATTTTAGGACATACTCAGAAAACGAGATCAATCTACAGAAAAGCACTTATGAGCTTTGTTATGAAAAAAGGGAAGGGTTTTTTTTTTAAGGATCAACTGAGTTTCCTTGAACACAACATTTGTCGACTCTGTTTTTAATGCTTCTGCAAATGACTGAGGTCACACATTATTACATGAAATATGTACATATATGAAAAGTACAGGAGTATTTAAACCTTAGCCAAAAGAGCTAAAATGTTAAAAAAATATTTTAGAAAAATTAGATCTTAGTCAGATAGCTAGAATAAATATAGACAAATGACACATTAGTCATCTAAGAAGATAGATAAAAGATAACGTACATTAGATGGCTAAAAGTTAGCCATAGAAAAAGCAACGCTAAATGTTAGCCATAAATGGTAAATAAATAACATGATAATATTTTGACAATAACTAAAAAGTTCACTAAAAATAGCTAAATGGTGAGAAAAAAAATGCTAAGATTAAAAAAAAAACAAGCTTAAATCACCATGTGACCAGCAGTGAGCTACAAATCTAGCTAATTGTTTCCCAATAGATTTATTTACAAAAGTAAAAACAGATTAGCGATGTTTAAAGTAACAAAAATATAAATAAATCATCCTCAGGATTTACATGTCTCAGCCTAAATACTGAGTGTCCTTGAACGCAGCATCTGTTTGTTTGGGTGTTAGCTGCTGACAGTGATTGAACACCAACCCCAAATATGTATCTGCAAATGTTTCCCAATCAGCCCCTGTTCAGTCTTCAAAACACTCTTCATCGACCTGTTGTTGCCATGGTGACGGGGGCGGGGGGACTCAGTGCCTCCCTGAGGCTGATTATAATGGATGTGCTGTAGTGGAGGTTTATATTAATAGCTGCTGTGCGAGACGGTGTGTGTGGAAGGTGAGGTCACCCCGGTGTATTTTTACTCGTCCAATCAGCAGCGGCTGAATTTAGAGGAGTTGTTTATGGTCCGCTCAGTGATGCGGGATGATTCCGTACTGCCGCTGTTACAACAGCTCCAGCTCTCACAGTTTAAAAGGTTGGCTGATAACCGACACAGAAGCTTCTGGGCTGATTTATATGTTCCACTTACCTGTAGGGGAGAGAGCGGGGAGGGAGTTTCTGTAATGACTGCAGAAACTTTAAAACACAAATTGGACCAGAATCAAAAACGAATGAAAGAACACATTATCCTGTTGCTGCTAGCAGTGAGCAGTTATCTAATCTTGTTTTCTGCTATAATTAGGGAAACAAAAGAGTTGACAAACGACTACAAATACCCTCAGGTCAACGACTGTTTGTCTTACTAAAGGTTGCTAACAGTTTCTTTTTATCTTTAGTACTTAGTGAGAAACAGTGCAGTCAAAGATGGTGTTTGCGCTGGCAGAATCAACAATCACCTCATTCTTTTCTCCTCTTACACGCTACATTGGCACAAACACGTTAGTATACAAACCTTGCAGTCAAAGCTAACAACCAGAAGCACAGTTCTGCTTGAAGGGCTGGTTGTAATAGCTTCAATTTTCTTTACCGTTCTTTTAATATTAGAAATTAGATTGTGAAATAAAACACACATCATAGATATTTGTTTCTTATCATGTCACTTTATCTGTAGCCTTCTCAGTTCCTTTTTAATGTAAACCTTTTTTTCACAGGTCAACAAAAAAACAAAAACAAAATGCACATACACATTTGATATGATCTCTTGGACCAAATGTAATTACACTGTGGACCAGATTTGGCCCCCGGGCCGTAGTTTGACTAATAGATGATAATCTAGAGCAGGGCTTCCCACACTTTTCCGTGCCCCCCACTGAAAACCACTGATCTAGAAAACATTAAATTCTTAGTAAACAAACAAGTCATATAAAAGAAGAAATATAAACTATCCCACAAAATAAAAATCTAGGTCAAAGTATTTTTTTTTTTTTTTTAAATCCATTGGAATTTCACATTCATCAGTCATTTTCACCGGGGGCCACATCAGCAGTACAGTTCTGCTTGAAGGGCTGGTTGTAAATGGAAGACTGTACAGATGTAATTACTCCATAATGTATTAATAAATGTTTCTGCAATTGATTATTATGTATTCAAGTTACAAATATTTTTCATTGCTGTGTAAAAAAACCCTTTAAATCAGGTTAAGAAACTCTGCTGCATGGACTTTATTAAAGTGTTTTGAAGCTCCCGTCGGCCATACAAAATGACACAGTGGGCCGCATATGGCCCCCGGGCCTTGAGTTTGACACATTTTTTCCCCTCTTCTTTACCTGCCAGTGAGGATGTCTGTAAACGTGGCTTTACCGTCATCATCGACATGCGTGGGTCCAAGTGGGAGCTGATAAAACCTCTGCTGAAGACCCTGCAGGAGTTTTTCCCGGCGGAGATCTGCGTGGCACTCATCATCAAACCAGACAACTTCTGGCAGAAACAGAAAACCAATTTTGGGAGCGCCAAATTCTCCTTTGAGGTCAGTGGTCCTGTTTTTTTTTTTTAGGCCTTTCTGTCAAGGATCATTTGACCAGAAAACACCAGAACATAAGGATTGAATCTGTGTGTTTTTGTACTGACATAATGAACAGATGATAAAACTGTATTTTCTCCTCATATCTCATTAATTCTTGTCTCCGTGGTTCAGACCAGCATGGTGTCAGTCGAAGGTCTGTCCAAACTGGTGGATCCGTCCCAGCTGACGGATGACTTTGAGGGCTCTTTGGACTACAATCACGAGGAGTGGATGGATCTGAGAGTCTCCCTAGAGGAGTTCATGTCCAGTGCTGTCCATCTGCTGTCCAGACTAGAAGACCTGCAGGTACGGAAACCCACTGAAGGTGAAGCAGAACGACCAGATGGAGATGTATGTTCTTCTCTGAACGGGCTTTTACTGTGTCTTCCAGGAGCTTCTGTCCAAAAAGGAATTTCCTGCAGATGTGGAAGGGTCTCGACGGCTGATAGAAGAACACACCCAGCTGAAAAAGAAGGTGAGGAGGAAGGACGCCAGAATTCTGGTTTAAAGATTTCAGTTTTGTCCATTTTTAAGACAGATTTACGCAAAGTTTCAACATCGGAGTGATGGAGTATTTTCTCTTCTCTTCTGGTTTTTGAAGGTGCTGAAGGCTCCAGTGGAGGAGTTGGACCGAGAAGGCCAAAGGTTGCTGCAGTGCATTCGATCCAGTGATGGTTTTTCAGGGAGAAACTGCATCTCTGGCTCTGCTGACTTTCAGAGTCTGGTGCCAAAGGTAATTCTTCCTTCATGGCAGCTGCAAGAAAAATAAATAAGGGGAAAAAAAGTCAAGAACCATGATCAGTAAAGATTGAATGTTAGCCAAAATAAATGTAAGGAAACATATTCAATTAAAACATAATCAACATTTCAATGAAGCTGAATCTTAAAGTTAGAAGTGTACTTTAAAAGAGTGTAGAAATATCTCAGCCCACACACTATTTGAGCTAAAATGAAATAGCAAAATTTAGCTTACAAATTAGAAAGGCAACATAAAACATAGCTTATGATTAGCCATCAAAACCAACAATTAAACTAATTAAAAGCATTGGTCACAATAAACAAAAGGTGAAAAACCAAGACCAAAAAGTAAAATGAATAAGAAATGCAACTAAATTGAAAGGCAAAATAAATTTGACTTAATTTGAAATGTTTTCTGCAGGGAAAAAAAAGTACATTTTATGGAATTTCTCCACTGTGGAACTAAACTTTGTTTATTTTATTTCATCTCATCTTTAAAAAATGATAGCACAAGTTAGAGATGGCTGGATCTGATACTGAAGATAGGTATCAGTCTGATTTTGGTCAAAATTTCAGGATGAGAACAACTGTAGACCGTCCTATCTGATACCAAAGCCCAAAAATACTTTTTGCGACTTGTTGTAAACAGAGACACTATCTTCTCAGCAACGGCGGCCTGGAGGAGAAGAAGGTATCAGATTGATAACGGTATCAGTAATGTTGTATCGAGTCATCCTCAATACAAGTAAACGGACAAAAAACACTCTGTCTACACTGTACCGACTTTCTGCAACAGCACCAAGAAAAAAAACGTGGGGAGAACATCCAGTACTTGATGCGTGTGTACGGCCTCGTTTGTACCTTCAGAACTTCCAGTTCTTTACAGCAGTTACAGCAGCTAATGAGCAGCAGCAGTGACTACATGTCGTCTCATTAGCTGCTGTTTCTCTCCAAGGAGAGTTAGTGGGAAAACACAATCAACTTTATTACACATCTCGTTTACACAAAGTCCATATGCTGCGCATTACACACACAGGAAAACATTTAGATTCATATTTAGTAGAAGATCTACAACAGGCAGCACTTAGACCAGTGCGTTCAATCTTAACCATAGATTTTTATTGTTTTTCCACAAACGCTGTCAAGTAAATAAAAACGGTCTCATTCTGTTTTTCTTCAACCAGGAAATGCAACTTTATAAATCTTGTTTTTGTTTTCCTGTGTTCCAGGTGGCCAGCCTGCTGGACAAGCTTCACTCCACCAGACAGCACCTCCATCAGATGTGGCACGTCAGGAAACTGAAGCTGGACCAGTGTTTCCAGCTGCGCCTCTTCGAACAAGACGCAGAGAAGGCAAGTTGTAGCTGAATGTTGAGTTTAACAGATGAGCTCAAGTCGTGACTAGAGCGTTCCGGAAATTAAAAAAAACAACAACAGAATTATCAGATAATGTAATTATTTAAATCATTTTTCAAAAGTAGTTGTTGACTGATGCTTTGTTTCTAAGTCATAAATCATGTAATTGAAAAGAAAACAACTGTGTTTATCCTGACTTTGAACAGAGAGTAATTTCACAGTCAACTGAATATAAATAGCATCAGTAAATTATGCTAATAGATATCAAAACAATGAAAAAACAGCATCAGGATTTTTTTGGCCATGATTCCTTTTCTTGTATGGTGTTTTTTTAATCTATAGTCCTGCTCAAATGCCAGACCAACAGGTGGCGTTATTGTTCAATATGGTTATTCACCAAAAAAGCAGTGGGATAGTGAAAATAAAGAAACATTTAATAAGAACTTTTTAACTATAATGCACAACCCTTTACAGGTGATAAAAAATCCATGCACTAAATTCTTACTCTTGTTAGCCTAACGTCTGTGCCCGTCTGTGAACTGAGTCATTATGTTGTAAGCGAGAAGCTAAAACTTTGCTCAGAGGCTGCGGAGGTCGAAAAACGAAACGTTGGCCGACAGCTTGGCGGTAAAATAACAATCTGTGGTTCAATTAAATATAATGATCTTTAGTTTGAAATTACAGGGCAAAGGTTGAGACGTTACGCTGCTGCTAACGCTTCATAATGAACAGTTTTGGTCCCCCAGGACTCATCTGCAGCATCAGTGCAGACATCTCTGAAAAACGTTCAGAGAGAAGCAGGCCTTTTAGCCTTTCATCTTGTAAGAGGAGCAGAGGATTTTGCGGTTAATATGGTAGAAAGTCGAGCAGTGACATCACCCAGAAAATCCCCCCAAAAATTTGGATTCATTCAAAAGATTCTCTTCAAAGCGATGAGTATATTTATAAAACGCAGCATTTAAGCTGGCACAAAGCTACGTCTCCACGCAAACAGTTGTGATTAGTTAATGCTGTTGACCAAACAGCAATTCCACCCCTGGTTACCCAGGCATGTGCTGAATGTCAGCTGACTTTGTTTGTGTTCGTCAGCCTACGCACAGATCCACATGCAGGAGCAGCAAATATTTACCCTGCAATAAACAGAGAGGATTGGTCATTTAAATAAAATCAGTTTTGTCCACATCAGTGACGAGCATCTGTAGGGCTTCATCTGTGGGCGGGTTTACGCTTGACGAGTGCAGCCAGAGAAAACAGTCAGACATGACGCCTGTTTGTTGCTCTGCGGTAAAAACAAAAACACACTCATTTGTGTAGATGTTGTCGTCGTAGTCGCAGCATAAATCAACCGGCGCGGAGGCTGTCGTGGCCTGAGGTTAATCACAGTCAGTCAGCTGGTCAAAGTGGAGCTGAGGAGGACATGATGATGTACTTAGAGGGATAGATTTTTGTTTTCAATTTTCATGAGAAACGAAGGGGAATGGCTGACAACAGAGGAGCATTAGCCCAGACATTACTGCATTAGCATTAGCATATCAAATAGCTCTACTTTGTCTCTGTGTCTGTGCAGATGTTTGACTGGATCAGTCACAACAAGGAGGTCTTCCTGCAGAGCCACACAGAGATCGGCCGAGGATACCAACACGCCGTGGAGCTGCAGACGCAACACAACCACTTTGCTATGAACTCCATGGTAAATGACGTCTTCGAAATTCAAACTTAAAATGGTTTCAAATTTGTAGTTGGAGTTTTTTGTGTGTGTGTAATTCTCTCTCCATGTCTTCCCAGAATGCCTACGTCAACATCAACAGAATCATGTCTGTGGCGAGCCGACTGGCGGAGGCTGGTCACTACGCTTCCACCCAGATAAAGCAGATCTCGGGTCAGTTAGATCAGGACTGGAAGAGCTTTGCCGCAGCGTTGGACGAGCGCTCCACCATCCTGGCCATGTCGTCTGTCTTTCACCAAAAGGCCGAACAGGTGGGAATTGGTCTGTCTTGGCATCGTGGGAAGGACTTCTCACTTTGTCAAAGCTTTTGTTTCTCTTTTGGGTGAAAAGATGACTATTGTTTTCTCAAGTTTTTTTTTAATCTTTATTTGTTTGGTGAGGATTTCTAATTCTTCGACTGTCTGTGTGCTGCTGCTGCTGCTGCTGCTGCTGCTGCTGCTGCTGCTGCTGCTGCTGTGTAACGGTCACAGCACTTGTTGGTCTAGAATGCAAAGTATAAATGGCTCTATTATTTCTTTTCTTTCCTGTAAAATAAATCAAACCCACTCTCCACTGCTAATTCTTGGAGTGTTGACATGGCAACAGATGGGACATGTTCGAGTCCTGCTGGGCCTTCGACATCAGCCACAAGTGAACGTTTGAGAGAGAGCAGAGAAAAAAAGCACAGAATAGAGGGAGAGGAGGAGAGGAAAAGAGGAAGAGAGGAGGCTTGGCTGAGGATGAGGGAGGAAAAACACGACAGCAGAAATGTGTCATGTTAAAATATGAAACGTAACACGTGGGAAATGCAGACAAGAAAAAAAGAAAAAAACATCAGAAATACACACAAACAATGAGAGAACCCCAGACATTTCAACCAAAGGGTTTTTGAAAGGAAAAGCACACACACACACACACACACACACACAAAGAAATGTTCCAGTAACACACCGATGTCGATACAGATTAGAATAATTACAATTCTTTGCACAGTGATGATGAATGGCTACAGCAGATGTCATGGCAACAACGACATTTTGTATTTGCTTTGGACCAGGGCTCGGAAAAAACAGCTCCAGGACAGTTTCACACAGAGAAAGACAGAAGGCAGTTCCCCATTGTACAGAGCAGAAGAGGCTGAGGGCAGCAATAACATGAATAATCTCAGTTCGCTATTTTCTTTTCCAAAGACCTTAGTACTAGCAAACAATTCCAACATATTTTTAATTTTTATTTCATTCATTATAGGATAAAAGGTTACAAATATGTGACGGAATACAAAAAAAAAGGCAACAATACCTGTTTTTGTAATAGTGAAAATAGTTTAAATTAAAAGGTTAAAATAGATTAAATATAGTTATAATAGTTAATAGTCTGTAAAAATAAATATTGCCAGATTAGCTAAAAGGTTGTTTACTGCGGCTAAAGTTTAGGGATACCTTAAGGTTAAGCCTGAACTGCGGGAAAAAAAGGTATTGTAGCTACTCAATTTTAGCTAGCTTCTTTAAAATATATTATACTCCAAGTACCAGGAGGTTAATAAAGAAAGTAGGTTAATTATAAAGTCCAAAATATAGCAGCGACATCAGAGTTTGTTAAAGAGCACTGATAATTCATCCAAATGATTGGGAAGGGAGAACAGGAGTAAGCATGTGATGCTAAATCAATAGCTAATAATGTATAAAATAGTAAATTCAAGCCACTAAGAAGTTTCCTCCCCAAAAAAACAAAGACAGGGAATGAGCAAAAGGTATAAAATTAGCAGGTAACATTTACACCAAGATAAATCTTACCCAAGGTCTAAGGGGCTTAGCTAAGCTAATAATACTTAGCGCTACGTCTTTACACATTTCCTGCTTTCCAAGACAGGTGAGATATTTGGGCTTTCGGAATAGTTAAGAACTGAAATGAGACAGCAGAAAGAGAAGCTTTAAAAAACCAAATGTGAACTCTGAAGAATACAGCTACACTCTTTTTGCTGTGTCATCAAACCTTGACATCCAAATATATGTAGCTGTTGACGTTTGAAGGATTATGTGGGAAAATAGAAGTGTGAAAGCTGTGTTGTTCTTTATTTCTGAAGCCTTTTCCTTACATGGCTCACCAACAAACTTTATTTGACAATATTGTTTCTATGTGTGTGTATTTGTCTCAGTTCCTGTCAGAGGTGGAGGCCTGGTGTAAAGTCTGCAGTGAGGGAGGTCTGCCCTCTGAGATGCAGGAGCTGGAGCTGGCCATCCACCGTCACCAGAGTCTGTATGAGCAGGTCACCCAGGCCTACACCGAGGTAAGCACACAGACAACCACGTTGAAGGTGTTGGTGGTGTTAAAACTGGAGCCGTTTATTCAACACTTTCTTGTACGGTACTTTTTGTGGAAAAACGTACAAGGAAACACTCAGTCAACTAAATTGGACTTTTTAAATTATTATTTACTGCAAATAACGTGTCTTTGTTAGTCTATGCAACAATTACAGACAGAACACTTATAACACTCTCTCCACGAGGTGACTTAAAAAAGAAAACAGAGACTCGAGGCTGTTGAAAAAGTTCTCTGTGTCTTTCTTTAATTCCTGTATGTCAGTGTGGTGTTCAACTAAACAGGCCAGGTTTCTTACTGTGTCAGTAAATTGTAATTCGAAGATCAATAGATTTTATTACCAGCACTTTTTATGACATTTTTTGTTTGGTGGAGTGCCGGAGAATTAAGAAAAAAAAATTAGATATGCCACAGGTCAGTGGAGAATTTAAAAAAAATTAGATATGCCACAGGTCAGAATAATGCATTTTGGGGGCTTAGCTTGATATGTGCCATGTGATGGACTGGCTAACTGGCTAGGGTGTAGCCCGCTCTCCAACCCAACACACTGCAAATGAATAAGCGTTACATAATGCTCTTAAGGCTACAACAGGCACTGAAGTTATCATTTGAGTTCAGATGCTGGCACTTATCAAAGATTTATGGGAACAGATCCTGATGTGAACCAGCAGCTCCTTTTATTTTGGCTGAAAGACCTAAAATAAAACCTAAACAACCATTAGAGTCCATCCTTAGCCACAATTCCTCAACTTATTACAGGACTTCCTGTCTGTGTGAGGTAGTTTTAGTGGTGTGAATCATCTGTAATTAAGCAATTAGGAAGTGGAGGCAACATGCTAATTTGGAAAATATATGTTTTGTAGAGCACAGAGGGGGGAGAAGAGAAAAGAAAGCCAGCATCTCCTCCTGTCTGCCTTTCTGTCAGTAAACTGTGTGTGTATAGAATCTCTAGTCTTTGACATATCAACCTTTGACCTTAATCTGTGTTTCCAGGTGAGTCAGGATGGTAAAGCCCTGCTGGACGTCCTCCAAAGACCCCTGAGTCCTGGCAATTCTGAATCGCTGACAGCCACTGCCAATTACTCCAAAGCGGTGAGTGCATCTGCGTTTATGACACGGGGTCTTCTGCAAAGCACAAGGGTGAGTCAAAAAGTATTGAGAAAAATCTCTAAGACTCTTCAAACTGTTTTATCATGATATATTTGTGAGGCATTTAGCTTTGTTTTGTTTTTTATAATTTGTCTAGTCAGAGCAAACACCAAGCTAGAATGGAAACCGTTAAAATGATGATAATTTCTAAAAGTCAAATTTGGCCAAGTATGTAATAAATAATTTAAATTTCAAAGATTTGTTCTGTGAAGAAATGGTTTTATTTTCCCATAAAATTCAACAAAGAAGATCAGATACCTAAATCTGACTTTGTTGGAGTTAAAGAAAAGTTAGATATGTTCCATAAAAATTCAAAGGGTTAAAGCATCGAACGTAAAAAAAAATGTCCCTTTTGTTTCCAAAGCTTCAATTAGAGCACAAAGTGCAATTCAGTTAAAGAGAAGGAGTTTTGTGTAAATACAAAGTTGTGTGTCACAGAGTGATTGATGTTTGTGTTATTTCTATAGGTTCACTGCATCCTGGATGTGGTTCATGAAGTTCTGCACCACCAACGGCGCCTGGAGAACATTTGGCAGCACCGGAAAGTCCGACTGCACCAGAGGCTGCAGCTGTGTGTGTTCCAGCAAGATGTCCAACAGGTGCGTACGCACACACGAACGCAATTGTACACTTGCTTTCACAGCTATTTTTGTTAATACAGTGCTGGACTGCTGTACCATAGCTGTGTCCCTAACTAATACATGTTAGGTTTTCACCTTACGCTAAGGTGTTTAATATGTCAGAAGTGAGGTTCTGAGTGTCTGAGACCAGGGTTTAGTCCATATTATGGTTGCTGGTTTGAAAACACAGGCTTACACACACTCAACTGAAGACATGTCCAGCAAGCAAGTGATCAAAAAAGGGCATTTTCACACAACCTAAAAAACCCAAAAGACTGAGGATGTGTTCTCGATGAGTCACCATTAAGGCTTGCTTCTTTTTCCCATGTCTTCCAGCTCCATACGATTTACAAAAATACCCATGTAACATTTTCAACACTAAAAACAGCTCCGAAACAAAGCAGTTTTCTGTAGTGAGGTCAGACAGACCGCAGAGCAGCATGTAATCTTGTGTGTGAGCATGTAATCACGTGCACAGACGGCAGTCATGTGTGCACGGTGACCTTTGCTTGTCGTTGCACATGAGAATCATCAAGGCGTCGGCCGTTCATCTCCTCCCTGTCAGCTGTGCAGGGAGTTACTTTAAAAAAAAAAATCCTTAGATAAAAAAAAGCGTTCAGAGTGGATCTGTGCCCCGCTGGTACCACGGCTCATATTTCACCCAGGAGAACGCCGCGTTCTGCGTTTTCTGGATGTTTTGGAGCCATGTAGAAGCTGTCATGTTTATACCACTGCTGCAATCATTCTTAAAGTGTGTTTTTTGAACAGCAGTGAATTATATCCTTGTGGGAGGAAGTGGTCTTGTGTATAATTTTATTACCTTGTATGTGAATGGAGGTCTTGTAGTAATGCAGCAATGAAGTTAAACTAAATTCCCTTAGTATTACTCAAAACCCCGGCATCTCCTTTGCAGATAGAGCCTACAAATGCTGTATAAACCATGAAGGCACAGGACTGATTATAAATAAACGGGCTCCTTGGTTTATGCCATCCTCGACTCACGTCATAACGTGGATATGTGGCCATTTTTTGTCTTGTTCCATTATTCTAACATACGGCGTTAAAACAAATCTTGCACGGGAAATAGTTGGCGAGCGGAGGGGACGGTGTTTACATTCAGCAGTTGTATGTCATACATCGGAATGTGCTAGATTTCGCTAAGGTCTTCTGATATTTTTATGTCCTAGATCATGATGTTACCAATTTGTTAACATAGGTACAGTACTTTTGCACAGTATGAGTTCAGACTTACTGTGAAAATCGAGCTACATCGCGCTGTAGGAACAGAACTCTGACGTAACTCAAGGACCCCTAGATTTGTCTTTAAACATCTTTGGCTACTTTCGTACTAACAACAGAAAGCTTAATTAAGTGTTTGTTAAAAATTTAAAAATATTCCTAAATTAACTGAAGATCTGTACTTACATTTACAGTTTGAAAGAGGAATGCTGTCAAAATGTTAACGTGTCAAAGAATAAAACACAGAACAAAGAACGTAGCAAAGGGACAAAAATTAAAAGAAAAACAAAAAAGGCCAAAAGGAATAAAAATCACTTGTAATAGAAAAGAAAATAAGGCGGGAATAAGGCAGAAAGGGACAATAAAACCCAATAAAAGCAGAAAAAATGTCTAATGAGACAAAAATATAACAGGACCTAAAGCCAGGTACAGCAGGCAGAAACAAAGCATTTTTATTTTAATTGGACCCAAACCAAAGATTCAGAAAGACAAAACAGGGGTCCATAAATGTTGTACTGCCATGGCAGCGATGACATCAGCAGAGAAAAAACCGCAGAGGTGAAAACGAGAAGATGAGTCTCAAGTATGGACAACATGAAAATGCGACCCAGGAGGGAGAGCGAGTGAAGAGGAGTTCATACGAGTGCGTTATAAATTCATCCAAGGCAGAGTGTTGCCAGCTGTACAAGTCCGGCAAAAGTTTCTATGAGACCCAGGGGAGACACGGACCCACAGTGGGTGAGAGACGTAGAGGGGAACAGGAGACGAAAGTCGAGTGAGAGAGTACACACGTCGTAATAGCCTATAAATCAAAGAAAAACAGGGCCGTTCCAAGCTTGAGTGCTAATGTTATGGGATAAATGCGACCCCAGAGAGGAAAAGGGAGAGATGCGGGGGCAAGGGCCGGAGGAGAATGTATTAGGTGTGTGGTTTTATTTGGCAGTTTTAGTCGCACATTCAAACAAAGACGGTCCAGCTGCGGTCAACATGTTCTCAGTTTGTGTTCGCTCTGACCTCACGCTGACCACAGTGAAGGCTACATCTGGACGGACTGCGGCTGCAGAAATGTCGTGAGTTATGGAACATCGAGGCTCAAAAATTGCAGTGTTCAGATGTGGCGAGGTGTTAATGTGCCGTGCTGGGACCTCGGGTCACTGTCCAGAAGGAGTCGCCTTTCAAATGTGAAGTTTGATCTCTCCTTATTATGGCTGTGAAGTATGACATCTACAGGTAGAGGTCAGACTGAAAACGTGTGCTCACATCTTTTATGTATTCAACATACACTTTATTTATTAGGCTGCCGGAGATAACAAATAAGAATATAAGCAGCAACCGGGAACACAAATTACAATTAAACAATAATAAATAAGTATAATTGGGAATTATAAACAATGCCTATTTTGGGATCGCATTTTTTGAAATTAGTTTGTAGCTACAGCACCACAGCTGGCCATGGATAAAAATGATTAATATTATTATTCAGTGCTGTGTCAGGTGTAATTATCTAAGTAGCTACAAATTATTTAGCAGTATTGTTTTGCCAAGGCTGGTTACAAATGATTTAGCAGTATTGTTTTGCCAAGGCTGCTATTACCTAGCTTTACGGTAGGTTGGCGTATCACGTAATTGTTCTCATATTTGTCGACAGTTACAGAACAATAGAACAGAACAATAAATACTCTTCCACTAGGGGCCAGCAGATGGCTAGAAAAACTAAATAAAAGAGAGAGACAAGAAGTAAATGTCTGTGTCTTTCTTCAATTACTGTGAGGCTACAAGGGTGTTCAACTAAACAGGCCATGGTTTAATACAGAGTAAAATGTGAGTAAATGGAAAACACTCCTCAAACCCTACAAAATGAATTATGTCTGAGATACTTAGCTCTGAGCCACATTTCTAACGAGTAAAATAAAAAAATAAATTTGTACTATATTGATTATACTTGCCCCTAGCAAGTGCCAAGCATGTGGTTCCTCTGGGAATTGAACCCAAGTCTCTCTGCTGACAGCCTTGCTAACCGCTACACTATGGAACCGACCAATCTTTCCAACCAACAGAACAATATTCTTTTGAAATTTGAAAAGACGCTGGTTTAATTACCAGCTTTTATGTGAGCTAGGCTAAAAGCATAGCATGGTCTGTTATCTACAAGATAATTTATGTAGAATATAAGTTATAGTCATTTTTATTTTTACCTTGAATGACAACAATTACGTTATATATTGTCTCATACCAAATCTTGTCAAATAAAATGTAGCTTTGTTGTCAAACAGATGTTTAATTAGCCTGAAGTGAATCGGTTTGTCACGTGCAGCGATATGACTATAAACCACCACAGGTGTTCTTATTGGGCATTTACAAAGGCAGTAATCACTCGTTAAAAAGAAAGCAATGAATATGAAAAAAAGCACCAGGCTTCAGCTTTCATCTCTGTTAAACCAAATGAGACGGAGTTGGTGCGCATCAGCAGCCAGATGATGGAGTTTGGCCTGCAGTAGGAAATTAAATTCTGCATCTTTATTCATCTCAGATGCAGTGACCTACTTTTTCCTGCTCAGATCATGAAGGTTTCATCAGATTCCATTTCTAATTCATTAGGACTGGGAGCATTTTGTGCCGCTGTTATGTATGTTCGCACAATGTCAGGAGGCGAAAAAAGAGGAGGTGCAGCTTTAGGAAAAGGAG